CTCAGAGTAATCACGGCAAAAATCAACAACAACAAAAAAATGTGTTGAAAAGACGATACGGTCAGATTTCAAAAGGCAGCAAAAAAACAACTCTCAGAGCTACTCTCCAGAGAGAAAGAGGATGAGAATAGACACTGAGAAGAAAGAAACAGCAGTGAGTCCGAGCATCCAAGAAAGTTCTTCGTCAAGCATGGTCCAATTCCAAGTTCAGGAAACAAACGCACTTGTCCAGCTTCCACTCAAGACAATGCAAGGCCCAGATTATGCTGCACAGAATTGCACGACAAGCGCTGACAGCTGCTCTCCACCAAGGAAAGAAAGACTTATCTGTGAAGAAAAAAATGTGTTGAAAAGACGATACAGTCAGATTTGAAAAGGCAGCAAAAAGAACTCTGAGAGCTACTCTCCAGAGAGAAAGAGGATGAGAATAGACACTGAGAAGAAAGAAACAGCAGTGACTCCGAGCATCCAAGAAAGTTCTTCGTCCAGCATGGTCCAATTCCAAGTTCAGGAAACAAATGATACGACCTTGAGTGATACCAAAACCTCTGAAAACACAGCAGTGACACAGAGCATCTCACAAAGTCCCTGGTCCAGGACTATCCGACTCCCAGGTCAGAAAACAAACAATTTGGCCTTGGGTGATACCAAAACCTCTGAAAACACACCGAAAGACAAGAAGAGGCCAGAAGACCAGAGAGAAACAAACGTGTGGATCATTGGGTCCAGCTACATCAGACGAGCCGAGGGTGAAGCAAAAGAGATTTTCGGAGAAAATTTCAGACTTAATGCCAAAGTCCAGTGGTTTGGCAAAGAAGGAATGCGCTGGAGGGGAGTCCTTCCTCGTTTTTATGAGGAGCTATCCACACAGAGCCCACCTGACATACTGGTAATCCATGCTGGGGGCAATGATTTGGGAGTCTTTTCTGCTTATAAACTTTCTTCTGTCATTGAGAAGGAATTGATGCAACTGCACACAGAGTTCCCCTCAATGACAATTGCATATTCATCCATCAATGGGCGTCAAGTGTGGAGATATGGAAATCCAGGCGAAATCAATAACGACAGGACGATTGTGAATGCCAGCATTAGAAAGGCTGTCGACCTCTTTGATGGAGTGATTATTGAGCATCCGTGCTTCAGGTTTTTCAGCAGCTCAATTTTTTTAGCCGACGGAGAAAGGAAATGAAATGTTTCTGACAAGCATCCGCACGGCCATCCAGAAAAGTCTTCGGTCACGTCACTGAAAAGTGACTTGAGACATTTCTTTCACAGTCCAGAAAACCATACGTTGTTCATTTTAGGTAATGTGAACAACATATAGCTAACGTGTGCTCTCATTTTTCTTTTCCTCTGCCTCTCACCCCCCAACCAGTCACGACAGATGGCTGCCCCTTTCTTAGCCTGGTTCTGTCAAAAGTTTCTCCCTTTTTATAAGGGAGTTTTTCCTTTCCACCGTTGCCCAGTGCTTGCTATTTAAGGGGATCATTTGATTGTTGGGTTGATACAGGGCTCGCAAAATCGCTAGCCCGACGTCCCAGGGCTAGCAATATCTCCGGTTGGGCGACCAAAATCACCCAACCGGAGATATTGCTAGCCCTGGGACGTCGAGCTAGAGAATTTAATTGGCTTAAACCAATAAACATAAAACTTCAGGTGAGGGGTTCACATAGTAGGGAGCACTACAAAAATTACAAATAAAAACATGTAATTGGCGGCAAATCAAAATAAAGAAAGCAATTTTTTAAAAACATCTCTTACTGCTCTGTTTATTTCTTTAAATGAACACTTGTACTTTTTGTCATAGAAGAATAAGAATATTAATATGAATATGAACACCAAGGCGTTTCCAGGCCAGCCAAAAGATATAATCTCTCCAGCCTGACTTGGGTCTGCCCCGGGGCCAAATGCCTGGTTGCACCTTTGCCTCCATGGGCACCTTAACTCATCACTTTTGACACAGAGAATGTATTTTATGAACTATGATTAGTAGGCTGAAGCCTTTTACTTCAGCTGTGATTGTTTTTCTTATTAAGATATATATTAATATGCTTTTTTAAGGATCAAGATGTGGGTTTGTTTTTCCAGCTTCATTAACAGTTGTTTTTTCAGAGATCAGATGTCCTCACAGGTAGGGATGGGTATTGATACGATTTTCACGATTCCGATTCCATTTTCGATTCTGTTTAACAATTCGATTCTTTATCGAGTCTTTTTTTTTTTAAAAACACTGAGGTCGATTAGCTTAGAACTTTGTTTTATATCTTCCCTTTGAACAAGATAGAAATTTAGGACAGGGGGAATGAATGAGAGAAAGAGGGGGAGAGAGAGAAAGAAAACCAAAGAAGGGGGGGGGGAAAAATAAACAACTCCTGGGTCACCTGTATGGAGAAAAAAAAAA